AGCGAATATCGTGGGCAGCACGACGAGGAACAACTTCAAGATGGATCTGCAGCAGCAAAACACATTCACATCACCTATCACCTTCTTTAGTTTAAATAACAACTCATAGGATCACTCTTTAGGCTTTTTTGTACAACTCTGTTGTACAATTATAAGTCCTAACGCTTTAGGATTCCGAGGTTACCGTGCGGTACGGTGTAAATCCTTCTATCTTTTTAGGCTATTTGCACAGTCCTATATTGTGCAAACATAAATCCTAAATAATTTGCAGGATTGAAATATCAAATTATATCACTTCAAAGACATAAAGTCAAACATTATGATAGTTGGGACATCTCCGGGGTTTCTCCTGGATCTGTGATATCCCCTACTTTTCTTCCCTTTGGGTTCCTTAAATAATTGTTCCTATTTTGAGTCATTCCCATTTGATTTTCCTATGTCCAACCATGAAAACCTAAGCTTTGAAATCTTGAAAACAAAACCACCTGATCTTAATTGAGAGTTTTCTTAAATGACTCTCAGTCATTTAAGATATAACTAACTATAGGGGTTTGCCTCTATAGGGAACCAGGAACCCAGATAAAATAAACCTTATCTAATCCTCGTATTAGGTAGGGGAACTTGTCGGCAGATAAGACAATTTCGCAGACCAAACGGATGTCACAAATGATATATTACTTTTCGGGATTGAATCCCTATTACAAGTGATATATTACTTTTCGGGATAAAAGTATTGCTTGTAGTATTGTATTAAATCATCTAAACTATTTAAAATGTGAGACTCGTTTGGTCTCACTTATTTTAAAAATTAAAATGTTACTTTTAAAAATAAAAAAAGGCTATATTTATATTTAAATTATTTTCAAAATCATAAAATCATTCACTTTTTCAAATCACGAAGGGTTAAAAGTTAAAAATAAAAGTTAAAAAACGGCCGATAGCTGACACATGCATATGCCAACCGAGGCTCATTGTACCTATCTCACACATCTTCGCTACCTGAAGGACATAATTCATCTCGGCTTGCAAATCAGTCTTGGAAACCTACAATCGCATACTTATACTGATGCAGATTGGGTTGGAGATCAGACTGATAGGAAATCCACAACAGGAGCGTACTTGTTTCTGGGAGATACTTCTATCTAAGGTTGTAAATGAGCTGAACTTGAGCGTGCTCAAGCTTGACTCGTGCTCGGTTCATCTGAAATTGTTTGTGTTCAAAATAGGCTAGTGTTTGAAATTGGCTCGTTAACAATGTGTTCGTGTTTGACTCGATTTAAATATTTTCATACGTGTTTAGCTCGTGTTCGACTAGAAATTGGCTAGTTAAATTTATTTGAAAAATAGATAAAGAGTGTTGAATTTGAACCTGCACCAACTCTGTGCAAAAAAAGGTGCAGAGCCACATGACCAATGAGTTGTTATGATTTAATCTTAGATATAAATATATATAATATATTATTATATAAATAAAATATATAATCTCTTTATTTCGAGCTAAAATGAGCCGAACACGAGCAAACAAGTGATTGTTCATGTTCGGTTCATTTATAATTCGAGCTTAAAAATTTGTTTGTATTCTGTTCTTATACTTAACGAACGAGTCGAACAATACTTGTTCACAAACAACAAAACCCACACATACCCTACCAGTGGTCCCAACACAAAACCCACACATAGTGTTAGAAACTGTTATGTATAGGTTTATTTCTGTTTCTTATATTTGATGGCCCTCTGTGTAATTTATAGTAAGGAAAATTTTTAACACATTCGTATAGTACGGTTCCTCTCAAGTAAGAGAGGCGAACTATCATCTTCTCTGTTTTCACTATTGTCAAAATTTCTATCCTCATTCCTTTAAAAAAAGGAAAAACTTAAGATTTAGAAAGAGATATCAATCCTAAAAACCTCCATTCATTAGTGTTAAAAGTTAAAATCCAAACCTTAAACCCCAATCAATCTCTCACCATTCACCTATTAACCTTCTCGCCATCATACCAATCAAAAATAATCTTCCCCATTCATTTCTACCCCTATTTGAGCACTACCCAAACCCAAACCACTTGGTCCCAAACATCCTTAATCCACCAGAATTTCCCCACACAGAAGAACTAACCCCACCAAATCCTGCAACTTAACCCCCACCCAATAATTTCATAATACCTCTATCACTTCCAAAAACAGAAAAATAAAACAAAATAAAAAACCATAAAACCCTCATCCAAAATCTGCATCCAAAAAACTTGGCCATGTTCTTCACCGCATCAATCTGAAAAAGTCAATGATTGTATAATTCATAGAATGTACCTTGCATTTCAGATACTACTTATTCATGGAATTTTTATCATATTATGTGATAAAAATTTAATCGTTGTTGAACTTAAAAATTTTTAATTCAAGATAAACTTCTTAAATTCGCATAGAAATCTATCCACAAAAAATATTGAATTGTGAATTACACATTTATGCTAAATACAAGGGCTTTGGAAAGATTTAATAAAGTCATTCAATTAACTTTATCAAAAACTTGCAATTTTATTTAAACAAAAGCTATTCTATATTTTTAATTTCAACAACAATTTGTAAACTATATCAAATGTTCCTATCATCCATGTTGCCTGCTAGATTATTCCCATAATTGGCATAGATTTCTGCATCAAACAGTTCAAGATTATACAGAGGGCCATCAAATATAAGAAACAATTGAAAAAAGTGTTAAATGCTTTAGAACATGAGCAAAATGCATAAGCCAAAACTAGAGGCAACAAAGTAACATGTGTTTATGGAATCAAAAAACTATAAAATTTCATGAGAGGTGGTTGTATATTTGTAACATGTAGTAATGTAAGTATGGTTAAAATTCTCATGACAAAAGAATAATGGAAAATTTACATACACACTGCAAAATTCCAATGTATTTACATACAAACACAGCTTAATATTTATACTTCTAACACTGTAGTGTCATAAACCTATGCATGAAAATGTGCATTTCACTTTTAAAAAATCAGAAATAGGGGTATATTTTATGTATTATTAAAGAATTGAGTGTTATGCACATAAATATGAAAGTTTATGTGCTCAACTTGTAAACACATAAGATTGTATACGTGTATGTACTTGCCCCAAAAGTAACTTAATGAGCATAACAATTTTGAATTATAAATGAAGAAGGAACTTCTTTTAGAGGCCAACCATCTAATACTACTACTAGTCTTCGCATTTCCAAGATAATTTTTACATCAACTAACATTCCCATGTTTACGTCTGCCAATAACCAAGATTAAAATATTATTGGATTTTATTATCACCAAGAATCTCCTCATTTTAAACCTGAAGTGGATAATCTACAAATTCCTAAACAAAGATCGATATGATACAATCATAATGTTTTTCCCAGAGGAAACTTGTTATCCACCGCATAGGCCACCAATAAATTATATTGTAATCATCTACAAATGGCTAATCATCATGTTAACCCTGCAGACTTCATATTTAACTATTATTCATTGAATGATAGGTATGACCCAAATGAATACGCTGACTGGATAGCACAAATAGAAGAATATTTCAAATTAATGAATACACTTGAAGTTTTTTGTTAAAAAGAATAACTTTTCAGTACTAACTAAATTGAATATACCAAATGTTTTAAAAACATTAATAAAGCAGGATTGACTAGTAGATACTAACCATTGAGATTACAAAATCTAAATTATAGTCTAAAATAAAAACAACTTCCTTCATATCAATCAACAATTACTTTGATCCACAATTTATATTAAGGTTATCTTATTGTGGTAGACAATTTAAGAAATTAAAGAACTAAATCCAAAATCAAAGGGTAACTAAAGCTAAATTTATAAATCAATTCAGGTATGAAACTATAATTGAGGTATGAAATCATTAATTAGATATAAACTAAAGGATGTATTTTATGGATTAAAAAAAATTAAAAAAATCAAAAGCTTGAAAAGACAGACAAACATGAAAGCATCTTTTGTAGGATTACATTCTAGATTTGATATTGCATCTGCATAATCTAGGTAACATGAACTACAATCACAACATTTTCCTAACATCGGCGTTATTATCTCGGAGGATACAACACCAGTAAGAAAATTTAATAAACTTGGATACTTTAAATGTAATCAAACAAGACACCTCACAACTTCGTGGTCCTTATCTCTCTTCAGCACTTGAGTGCGCTATGCACAAGGGTGGTATGATGACTAAAATGAGCAATTAGACTGATGAATCAAAGGATCACTCAACTGTTGAAAGATTTTCCACCACTAATAAGTAATTCCAACGTTAATAAAAATTGTTGGAGAACCCATATCCTTCATACTTAAACATCTAATAATAACAACAAAAGTAAATTAGTTACAAATGGTGAAAATACTATAAATTTATTAACTATAGACACCTCAAGTAAATACAATCTAAAAGCCAAGTCACATAAGAATCCTTTTTAAAAATGCAAGGGTTAGCAAGCCATCTACATCTATCACTAAAATATTTATGGAATTGGCTGGCACCAATAAACTAATGCAAACCCAGCCTGGATCTACAAATGAGAAAACGAGTTTGACCAACATTTTTTCTCCAGCCATAGCAAAAAGGGATAAAATGTATGCTTCCAAAATCAACTTCATAAAACTAGTCGTTGACTTGTAGAATAATATCACTATGGTCCATCATAAAGACAAGATTATCATCCAAAGATAATGGCACGGTTATTAAAAGGAACAGGTAAAAAATGTACATTTAGCCATCCTAACAATAAACACACTACGTAATCCAATGACGTGGGGCCTGATGTATATTGGTAGACGTATTTAGACAGTAGAAATAAATCGAACCAGATAGTGAAAAAAAAAGCAATAATATCCATAATAATGCTGCAAACTCTCAGTCCCTACCAAACATATCATGTTGTAGAAAATGAGGGGAAGTTTTTATCAGGATCTAACATGCAAGAAAATAATATATTTTACCTTCTTGATGTCCTCTCAAGTTCAGGTTCGGCACTAGGAGCTTCACCATGGCCAGGCTCATGAATTCTGCTGCCACCAGAGCTCTCAGCATACTGCAATCTGTTTCTAGGAACCTTATCGAGCAGCGCATTTACTATTGCACTTTCCGAATTGGTTAATTTACTCATTTGTCTAGGTGAATTAGGACCATAAACACAATTTGCTTCCAACCCGCCACCATCCATACTCCGGGCAGCATCTTCTGCTTCATTGACTGAAACACTTGATAAGGTGGCGGTGTGTGTGGGTGTGCGAAGACTATCATAACCGTGTGAAATAGTTAGCGAATCACTTGCAGACCTCCGATGGCATCTTCCTTGGGGGCTAGAATCAGAATCAGTTAGGAGGTCATCGAGCCAGGATGTATTCTCTTCCAAGAGGAAATCCATGGACTGATGTCTAAAGAGTTCTGGAGAACACTGATCATCTCCTTGTGCAATTAGGTCTGACGGATCCAATGAACGTGTACGAAGGCACTTGTTCTGTAACGGGCAACGAGGTGGTAGATTTGAATGTCGCGACATCATAATTTAGTTCAGATCACTGTAGCGATTCAAATTTAGTTTACCCGTGTTAAAAATCCTTTGTTATTCTGAAATAGAAAGCAAAACCTATAAATTATTAGCTGTTCTCCAAGGAAAACTAAAAAAATTCTGCCAGCATTAAATCAAACCAAAATTGATGCAAAAATCAGTCCGAGATGAACAACTTGAAAACAGACTAAAAAACAAAGGCTCTAAAATGCAGCAGTATTGTTAAAACCTAATACAAGAAACTTCCTTAAACTTGTGTCCGGTGCATCGAGATACATCGATCGAAACGGTTTGCATATTTCCTCCGCCCCACAGAGATACCTATTTTATAACAAACTGAGAAAAAGCGTCATGCATTGCGCAAAAACGCAGCCATTATCCCACCAAAAATTTCCCAAATGTCCCAAAACATCAATGGAAACTCAATCCGGCTTCCAGAGCTAAAACCCTACAACCAAACTCTCGCGTTAAAACACCAACAACCCAAATCAATGCAACAGTGAATACAAGCATTCTCCATGCCCATAATCAAATCAGCCGCAGCAAATTCAATAACAAGACATTTCTCACAAATTCTAGTGCCGATCGAACCCACCAACTTTGGAACCATGGAACAAAAACGAAACAAACGAACGCATCGAAAACGACCAAATCATCGGTGAACACACATGTAACATCACTGAAAGAGAAGGAGAAAACAAAGGAAAATAATGGATTTAAACGAAACAAAAATCCATTCTCGTCTTTTTCATTTCCTCCCTTTTAGCTGTTTTTGGAGTTCTCTTTACCTGCTCCTTCTAATTCGGGAGAAAGAAGAAGACACAGAGTGGAGAGGTGAGAGAGGCCTCGGATAAAGAAAAAGTGGCGGGGTACCATGAGAATCCAGCTGGCTTCAACATGCCTTGTGCAGGAGTGGTTGATTGCTTTCAATAACAACTTAATAGCAACCATTCGATTTACATTGATAGTCGTGCATGCGATTCCTTCCGATATAATGGCAGATCTGATCGTTGGAAATTATTAAATTAACTTTTTCTTCACTTCTACGGAGTAACGGAGCACGACCGGTTTGGCAGATTTTTCTAATAAAATTATCCACTTAATGATTTTTTTTAATATATATTTCCTTTCATTAAGTCGTATTCCTCTTAAAAATTGCAAAAATAGCTTCTTGTTGGAAAAAATTTTTAAATGATTCCTTGTTATTTTGAGTTTGTAATTTTTAAAAAGCGCGAGCGAATGCATAGGGCTGTAAACAAGTCGAGCTTGAGCGAGCTCAGGCTTGGCTCGTGTTCGGCTCGTTCAAAATATCTCGTGTTCGAAATCGACTCGTGTTCGAAATCGGCTCGTGAACAGTGTGTTCGT